GAAAACTGCTCGACTCGGAAACTCGCTCCTAGTACTCCTCGGTTGTCCTTCTGAGCGGTAGGATTTAGGCGGCAGCATAGGTTTCGATACAAGCACCAAACTTTGTAGGATTATGGGCATACCCATACTGATCAATTCCTGATATAGTGCCAAGGTCAATTTTCTAATTCCAGCTAGTTAGCGATAATTAGGGTTTTCACTGATTACACCTCCCACAAAGATCTTTTTCTTGTTTTTTCTCGAGAATTAATTTCCGTTTTTCCTTTACGGTGTCACGTTATTAATGCACGTATGATTAGAATTGTCATTTTTTTTCCCTATTTTTATTCAAGTTATTTTCCAGCGAAAAATATTAATTGAATGAAAGCCTTAATTTGCATAAATCTGCATTTCCTCTTGCTGCCTTTTCTCTACGTTTCTGTAACACTTTCTCTTAGTTCGGATGATAGGAGCAGCATCACATTCTAATTTTTTTCTATGCGATTGGATGCAAATACGTACATTACAAACCGTTGTTAGAAAGAAAATGGCGAACTTTAACGAGTAAAGGAAGAAATGGGTTGATTTGGAAAATTGAGACGAGAGAATGGAATTGCTCGGACGTAATATTTAACCCATTAACTCCCAGAAATTTTTGCCAAAAACGCATATTTTGGACAATTTTGAGATTTTCAGGCTGAATATGGGCCAAATTAGCTCCAATCTACTCAAAAAGGCATTTGCAACATGGCAGCTTGCTTTTCTTTCCACTAGCATCGCGTTTTACGACATGTTTGCTCGAGCATGCGCAGAAATCTTAAAATTTTCTTTTCGGCTTTCCTTTTTCTCCTTTTCTTTTCTTTTTGTTGTAGTGATTGACCTTCTACTGGGCTTACTTTCAGTTCAAAAAATTCTCAGAAAGCATCATGGAGACGGGCAATTTTTACCATGGAGTAGCCACGTGTAGTCGCAGAGAATTTTGTTCTGAGTTTTTCACTCAACTTTTTGAGCATTTTCGTACATATTTTAGGCTCCATTGAGCCGATAACTCTGATCTGGGTATCATTGGAAACATATTTTCCTCCTGTAGAAGTTGAGCATACGTGATGCCAATTTTGGTCGAGGGTGATGACGTCAGAAGTGGAACAAAGGCCAAAGCTCGTCACGGGTGGTTACGGGCGGCACGGGAGTCAATGGGTTAAAAGGAAACTGTCTTGGCCAATGAAGCGGCAAACGTACACGAAGTATTTTCTAGACAGCAAAAATGTTCCGGTGTGTTCCTTTTGGAAGGAACTGACCACCGGGGTTGACTTAAGAGAGCTAGGCGTGCATAATGTTTGTCGACTCCGATCCAGGATCCGATCTGTTGCTCACAAGTTATCCCATTTGAGTCTAATATCTAAGCTAACATGATTGACATGACTTCCCTTGGAGCCAACTGATATCACCAGGGTTGCCTAGCAGCGCCGGTCAACAGCGAGCGACAACATAATAATGGAAAAGTCATCAGAAAAAAGAAAAACGTAACTGCCAATCTATTACTACAGCTGAGTTGATTTCACACTAACAAAATTCTAGCACGCGACTCGAGAAAAGAGTTTTGCAAAAGGCGTAGCGGCAGAGTAGCAAGACATACACTCTATGCGTGTTATTGACTGCTGACACCCAGTTAAAGGGGTATTGCTAGTGTTTGACGAAGACATAGGATGAGTGGTGTTTTTACGCTTCCTCTGCGGAAAACGATGGCAATGTGATGAGTTTATAACGTACAGCTATTTATCGCGTTAAGAAATGCTCAGTAGAACATTCAAAGCCACCGGACCTTTCCCTCAGAACTGCCAAAAGGAATCATCACCCCAGACTTTGCTGGCATCGGTAACCATTATCCTTGCGAGACAAACGCTAAATTCCAGTTCTGAAGCCCGTCAGTAAATCCAAAGAATACCCTCGGCATGTCAAAAGTCAAGAGACCCGTTTACCATCTATAGGCTGCATGCTGCACGCAAATATACTGTAGAAAGAAATTGTTGACAGACTGCATGCTCTTTGGCATGTTGATAGGCAAGCGCAACAGTGCTATGGTTGTCATATCTGGCAGGAGTGGCAGATGCAGTCGTGGAATGGTTTGAATAGTTGCTTGCTCCCACGCGTATCCTGCTTGATATGTAGCACGCTTCATTAGGGTGTTGGATCAGTGCAATACCGCGGGTGCCGTGAAGACGTATAGCGGTTGTCGACTACCTGTAGTGGTCGATATTATCGACTGCCTGTGCAGCAGAAACGTCCGTTTTCACATTAGGAGGGCATACCATGTCCATTTTCTAAGAGTTCAGCCCCTGTACTTCCCGGCTGACTATACATCTCGCCGTTGTCGTTGTAAAAAAGAACTGCGGCAAAGATGATATGTAAATGTGTTATTACCCTGTTTTTATTATTGTAAATAGTTTCCGAAAAACCTTTGGGAGGACGATGTATTAAAGTTTATCTTATCTTATCTTGTCTTTGTGTGTGTGATGGCCAATGCATTCCTGACTAAGTTTATTGTGATACGGAAGTTAAGAACATTTAAAAATCTGTAGGTTTTATTGCATATAATGGTCTAACCAACCGAAGGCCCATCAGCAAGACGCAGAGCTTTCTTTCATTTTCAGCAAATGTGGGAATTTAATTTTTCGTTTCCATGGCAACACGTAGTTAAGGGCAACTTGCCATATGCTTAAACAAATTGAACTTGGTAAATAAGTTGGAAGCATTGAAATGAAAGTATTTGCTGATAAACTAGGGTATGAACAGAGGAAATTCATGAATTTTAATAAACTGTGGTTTTCATGGAAACCGGTGAACGTCCGACTTGGCACTACACCTGAAAATGCTCGTATTCGTGACTGCTATCAATGTGCCAAATTTTATGCTTGTATCAAAAAGCGCACAATTTGCCTGAAATTTCGAGTTATGCCGCCGGACTAACCAGCATTTGTTGTTAGTCAAGTACGCTGGCGTACGGGCCATTGCCATTGGATCAGAAGACTAACACATCAATCAAAATTTTCGCTAATCTCCCAAGGGACAGCTCCAAGGAACAACAAAGATTACAACGCAGATATTTGGCGTGTAAACAGAAAATAATTGAGAAAGCGTTGCCGAAAGCGTTATCGCGCCTGAATATTCTTCGCGAATATCGCGAAATTGTTAACTGCCAAGCACGAGCAGGACACAGCCGTAAACAATTTGCCTCATGGGAGAGATGCGATGTTTGTTTTCACAGCAGGCTTTGGTCATAGCATGGTTTTTACCGTGTTTCACTGTTTGCGCTCACCAGACAAGAATTGTCGTCTTCAAGAGCCAGTATCTTTGTTATTTCGCCTTTAACGAGCATCATCGACGACCAAATTTTAGAAATCTTATCGCTGAACTTCACAACAATGAAATTGTCGTCTGATGTTTTATGTCCTTTTCTTGTTTGATGACTCACCTTGATCACGTCTTGCTTCACTTTCTGCAGGCTCGAGTAAATGAAATTATAAAGTTCAAAAGCGTTTCTTATTTTACGTACCCAGGCATGGTACACACGATCAGATGATGTGTCTGATCTTTCTATTTCTAGGCCAACTTCAGATTTCTGACAAAGTGGCATTTTGAAATCCTTCACGCTTAGAGACCTTGAAAAGGTGTTGAATGGAAGTGTTTAAATTCTCCGAATTTGATCTTGAGTGGACAACAACAAAGTCTACAATTATCGTT